GGGTCGACGGAACCTCCATGCGGAGAGAGGCACCGGCCGGCCCGGCCGCCTGATCCCTTGGTCCCCTCCCTGCCCTTCTTACCTGGGCCAGGGCAGCACCGCATCCACCTACCCCCCCCCAACCTCCCCCCGGGGTGCAGAGATCGCCGGCCGGGGGATTAAAAGCCATTCCTTCTCTTAGCGGAAAGGAATTAACGTTTAAATTAATTTTAAACCCAGCAAGATAAAAATCCCGCACAGCCTCCCGAGGAACAGGAGAGAATAAAAAGGGCGGAGGGATTAGAAAGTTGAGAAAGTGTCTCTAGGCAAGTTAGACAGGTGGACCTGCCTGGGGAGCTACTGCCTGGCTTGGGGTAATAAAAAACGGTTAATAGGTTGGGGAACAACAACCGGTCTTTCAACTGTTTCCTACCGTTTGATCTTGTTTAATATAACATTGGGCGAAAGGCAGTTTAATTTACAGCCCAAACGCTTATTTAATATCCTCCTCTCTTCCACCCCCTCCCCAAGCAGAAGGACGGGGTGTAATCACACAGTCGGGTACCCGTATTTCTGCTTTTGCCAGCCCCGCTCAGCACTGCTGGTTTTCCTTCTCCGGTCGAGACATTGCAAAGCGAGAAGGTTCAGTTTAGAGGAATCATTCGCACAGTAGATGGTTTTAAAAATGAAAGCAGGGCATGCTCCAGGAAAAAAAATAAATCTTAAAAAAAAAAATAATGTGAACGAACGCAAATATATATATATAAACCTCTACTACTCCGCCTTTTCCCTCTGTATCGAAATTCTGGCTTGTATGTTTAGCTAATCTAATCTGCGGAGAGGGGCTGGGGGTGGGGATGGAAGGGAGGAGTTGGAAAGAGCTGAGGTGCTTCTGACAGTTTAAATTCATGCCAGGTTTCAGTCTAATTTCAACTGATTCCGGCGTGTGATTTCAGTCCCACTGATACGCTGGTTAATATTTGATACCTCTCACGGACACGCCGCGGCCTCGGATCTCCGAAAGGAGACAGAGATTTTGAAGGCGCCTCGTTTTCCCTGGGCATTTGCTGGGTTAGCACCCTCGTCTTCTCAGTAGGGCCCTCCTTACAGCAGAAATGTGAACAAAACGCCATGAAAACCAAGCAGAGAACACCCCTCCTCGGAGCCCAGGCCCTTCCCAAAGTTCTGTGCAGTCGATATCCATCCCAGCATCGCAGACTGGGAGCCCGGAGGAGCGATTGCGGCCAGGGGCAATTTTCATTTTGGAAGTGAAAACGAGCGCTTTTCTCCTTTCCCCGCCTCGCTTAAGCACAGATACAGTTCAGGACTTTTTATTACGTTCAGTTAACTTACAATTTGCAGTTATTTGCATTTTGGGATGCCGTTAAGTGTATAGGATAATATATACGTGCTTGAGCACATTTTTTGTATATACATATATAGATAGGTAAAGAATTAGTGTGTATTTGATGAGGGAAAACTGATTTAATTCAGGATCATCTACAGATGTAGCTCCCTCCAGCCCCGCACGGCCCGGGAGGTGAAATAGGACAAAGGAGGTAGCTGGGGTCGGCTCGTCCTGGGACTCCGCCGGTGCCGGGAAATCCCGGGCACCCAGGTCAGGCTCCAGAGGTGCCCCGGGCTCCAGCACCTCTCTTCCCGTTAGCCAGATTTGAAAGAGGGTCAGTGCTTCTGTCGGCCTGACATGAAGGAAAATGGGGAAAAAATAAAAATAAAAAAAGGAAAGAAAAAGAAAGAGGAAGATATAAAACCAAAGCAAGAAACTACACCCCCCCCTGCCTCCCATGGCAAGCTCGCCAGAGCCCTCCTGGGCTCTCCGAGGGCTGGGGGATGGGGACGCTGCTGTTTTGGAGGGGCTGGGGGGTACCCAAGGTCTTTGAGTCCGCTGCCCCGTACTGGGCCGGGCAGACCTGCCGCCCCGGGAGTTTCGACCCCTCGGCAGGTCCTTCGGCGGAATGAGGGGTGACAAGGGGGAGAGGGACGCATGGCCTTGATCTCAGTCTCAGGCCCATGGAAAGTTTCTTTTACGAGGCAAATATTTTCCCCGTGGCTTCACCATGCCAGCGGTGGGGAGCTTCCTGCATAGCCGTCTTTACTTTGTGAGAAAACAGCTAGGGAGGAACCCTCTTCCCCCTCCTTTTCCCACTCTCTGGAGGTATCGGGGGACATTGGTTTTCCTTCTAACCTCTGCCCCGAACTGCCCGTGCCAGGCGGTTGGCACGGTTTTTCCCTCACCCTGGAAAGAAAATAAATGTATATATATATATACACACACATATATATATGTATGTGTATATGTATATGTATATATACATTTTCCTGATGGGGCATCCAGGCAAGGCAGCCGGGCTCCCTCCCTCCCTCCCTCCCTCCTTCCGGCGAGGTGTCCCCTAACTCTGGAGCTGGCAGCGGGGTTCGGCCCGACCCGGAGCCCCTTGCCCCCCCTGCCCCTCCAACCCCCCGGGGCCGGCCCCGGGACCTCCCCCACACACAAGTTGCGCTGAGTATGGGGACGAAGAGAGGGGAGGGGGGGAGACCCCCGTGTGCTGTGGAGAGAAACTTCGGAGAGGTGAGAGGGGAGGCTCAGTGTCGTTTTCCCCTTCCCCCTCCCGGCAGGGATCTACGAGTGCAAAGAGAAGAGGGAAGATGTGAAGTCAGAAGATGAGGATGGACAGACCAAGCTCAAACAAAGGAGAAGCAGAACCAATTTCACACTAGAGCAGCTGAATGAGCTGGAAAGACTTTTTGATGAGACACACTATCCGGATGCCTTCATGAGGGAGGAACTAAGCCAGAGGCTGGGACTGTCTGAAGCTAGGGTTCAGGTAAGAGAAAGGCTCTGTTCCTGGAAACGTCCTCACCTCACTTCCTAACTGCCAGCGGATCCTAGCACAGTGCCCCGTTTCATCCAAAGAGGGGAGGTGAAGGCAGAGACGACACGTGTGATGGGGAAGCTGTTTGCAACTCTGCTGTACCTGTCCTGCCAAACAGTAATTCTGCTCTGGGAGTATCTGCCCATGCCTTGCACTTCCTAGGAAGGCGGTTTGATTTTATATATTTTTTGGGGGAGGGTGGTGATATTGTTGACAAGTCTCTAACAACTGAGCAATTCTCTGTTTTGATTATTGTATTTTTCCTTGCAAATGTGCCTTTAGCTCTCTCTTAATCCTCACTTTCTTCCCCCTCCTTCTTTCAGGGGGCCGTTATGGCAAAAAAAAAAAACCCACAACACCCAGAAAACAATTGCCGTCAATAAGGTTAGACGGTTGGGGTGCTGAGGGACGGGATTAGCCAGAGCCGGGGGAAAGGTGCTGCCTCTGATTCGTTTAGCAAGCCTATGAATGCATGGCACCCCATCTGGTGGAGTATCCCCCCGTCCCTCCCATCCCGCTTCAGATACAGCTAAATACCAATTAGCTTCTGAAACCTTGAAAAGAGGGCCGGGTTGCTGCAGTTCTGGGGCTATCAGAGCTGTCTGTTTGGGTGGTTTCACATCGATTATTTTAAAATTTGATTTTCGGTTACGTAGAGAAAAAAAACCCCCACCATCACTACCACTGCCCCTCGCCCTTAAGCCAGCTAGGGAATGACTCCCCAAAACAGATGTCGTACATGAAAAAAAAAAAAAAAAGGCAGAAAAAAAAGCAAGCAAGCAAGTGGCCAATCATAAAAACCAACCTAGAAATAATTAATAAGGTCAACCTGTGGCTCTCCAAGCAGGCCTGGAGCAGGAGAGAAACATGAAGGAAACCCCTTCTTGGGTTATAACTCTGTGCTTAGCCTAATAGACCCAAACACAAAGCAACCCAAAAGTCAAGAAGAAAAAAAAGTCACCAAGCCACCCCCTTCACTGGACAGAACGGCCGCACACCTTGGAGTCAGGAGGTGTGCGTGCAGATGTATGTCCGTCTAGACTTGTGTGCGCAGGTAGAGGTAGGTGCGGGTGTGGCCCTGTGAGCACAGGTAGACGTGTCCGTGCCTACCCCCATCCCAGGGAACAGCAGGAAGGCAAGAAATACAGCCTTGAGGTGGAGCGGGGAGGGGGGTGGGCTTGTCCCCCTCCTGAGCGTGTGTCCCCCCGCTCCGTGCCCCGCAGCGGGGGGAGGACAGATGGGCAGGGCTCCTCCCGCACCCCCTCAGCCAGCCTCTGCCTGGCTGAGACACCTCCTTGCTATAAAAAACTGCCTTCTGGAGGCATTGCCAGAAGTAAATAGGGCAGCTAGGCTGGTTGGTTGTTGTTTTTTTTTTGTGTGTGTGTGCGTGTTTGTTTTTTGAGGGGGGGTTATTTGTTTGTTTGTTTTGGTTTTTTAAGGCTCTTTTCTCCCCTCAGCTTCTGCCTCTCTCAGTATAAACCGAGCTGGGAGAGGGATGGTGTTGGGCACATGCCTTAGGAAGGGCGGCTTGCAGGGGATATTGCAGGGGTTCAGAGTGCTCCTGGCCTCCTTTCTCCTGGAAGATTGATCTAACCACACCATATAAATTAATGAAAAGATTAAACTTTTGCTGAAGGGGACATCAACTCTTATGTCATCTTCCCAGATCTTCTTACTTGGGCTCTGTAATATCTTTCCACGGCCTTGATGTACTGTTTCTATAAAAATAAATTACTTGTAATTGAATTCTGCACTCTTTCTTTCAAGTACTTTATTACTGAGCAGCACCTTAACAGGATGTTCATAGTCACAGGAAAATTGGTGCTTCAAGTGCTTACAGATCTTAAAACAGCACACCAAAAAGAAAAAAGAAAGAAAGAAAGAAAGAAAAAAGTTATACTGATTCAGGCAGAGATTATGAAAGAGATTGGAAAAATAATAAATTTAATAATCTTACGAGAGAGGCTTGCATGGGTGAAAAGAAAACTAGAAAGATAACAAATATCAAGAGGGAAGATAGGAGGAATAGACAATTAATTGGGAAATAAGCAGATACCTTGATATACATCAAGACATGGAAGCAGAAAAAAGAAGGGCGGAAAAAGGAAAAGTCTGTGTTTTTTAAGATACTTTCAGAATTGTTCTCTAATTCCTCTCTGAATCGCTTGTCCCTTGCTGTTAAAGGATATAGTTTCAATTTAGCGTGGAAATTTGCTGTAAATAAATTGAAGCTCCTATGGTAGCTAGTCCTTATTAACCTTTTATTTTTAGTGTTGTACTGGAAACTCATATCACCCAGCTGTCAGGGTTATAATTGAAAGTTATGAGACCATAGTGAGGAGCAGGCAGTAATTCAATTACAACAAATATCTTTGGGTTTATGGTGCAGGGCTAAATTAAATGTCATTATTCACTGTCTCTAATGGAAATCAAAAGGAAATCAGATTAGAGCATTTGTGAAAGAAATCACTGAGTGATCCTTAATGAAGAAATAACTGTCTAAAACAGTGTACTGTGCTTTACTTAGCATATTCATGACTAATTGAAATTGATCGTGAATCACACCAAGCCTGATTTATTATCGCTTAACGTAGTGGCTAATTCATCACTTTTATTCCTCATAACCTTATTTTTTCATAGCTAAAGGGAAAGGGCACTTCGTTTCCCAGATTTAAATACAATTTCTATTTGAAAGATGTTCTGATTTGCAAGAGGAGTTGTTTAAACGCTGCTTAAATTCCTCCTGACAATTTATACTCCTTTGGGGAGGGGGGAAGGGGAGGTGGAAGGCGTGGGGAACACACAGAGGGAGATTTCCTGCAAGGATTTACAACCGTAAAAAGAAAAATAAGAAGCATTATTGTCGCTACAGCACGATGACGTTTTCCATGCTTATCTCTCTCTGTGTATATATATATATCTATCTATATATCTATATATTTATATGGATATAAATCCCTAAAGCCCGGTTAAAAAGAGAAGCGTTGCATGTTAATATTTGCGTGTAGGTCTTAGGGAAACACAGGCTCTTGTGCGGTGCGTTTCGGCTGCAGCGGGGTCAGCGCGGGGAGGGCTGCGGTAGCGACCAGACGGCGGGGAGCTGGGAACGGGGAACTGGAAACTGGAGTGGTGGCTCGGTTTGTCGGTCGGTCTGTCTGTCTGTCTGTCCCTGGGTCCCTCAGCTGCCCGCCCGCTGGGCGCTCCTCCTCCCCGGCCACCCCGGGTAGGAAAAAGAGATGCTCGGAATCAGAGAAGGCCAATTCCTACTTAAGAAAATCACTGAGGTGCCCGAGGTAATTAATGCCTTTGGAAGCCTTTCTTTGCACTAATTACTCCGTTGTAAATGACCATCATTAAGGCAATTGAAGAAAGCTTGAAGGGAAAATTTGATGTAGGAAGTGCAGTTAGTATTAATTAACCGTATGATCTCTTGGCAAGTGCAAGAACATCAAAGATTGTAGGTGTTTACTTAGCTACAGGATTTTCTCAGCGGTGAAAGTCAATGTTTGTCCAAATTCCGTAGGTTTTGGTGTAAGGATAAGAGTCTGCAAAACATTTTGGTCCGTCCCTCTTGACGAGGCGCTGGGGAGAAGTGCTAAACCAAGCACCTCGGAAGGGGGAAAGTAATGACGGTCTGAAATGCCCCTGGAAAAGAGGCAGGGAAGGCGCGGCGGGAACTGCAAATTCTGCGCGTGTTGGAGTTCGAAAGGCTGGAATTAGGGCAGGATTATTGGATTACAGGCATTTCTCGGAGAGGGGCAAGAGCACTTCTTCACATCCCAGACGTTGCTCTCGTCTGCTCAGGAGCCTACAGAAGGCGGTTTTGTTTGCTTTTAACCTTTGGGGAACGGGAATTATTCAGACCCTTTGTACAAGTTCAGTGTCTGGCATCTGCCCCGGGGTCTTAATCGTTTTCAAGCCCAGTTGGAGAGGGGGCAGGCTGTCCGGTCTTTTAGGGGCTTGGGTTCTGATCTGGCCCACGCTGGCAGTTCCCGGGATGTTGAAGTGTGAGTCGGAGCCAGGGTCCCACTCGACCTGCCCGTGGGCTTATTTTAAGTGTGTGTTGGAGCGACCCTTCGCTCCAGTCGGGTGGCCCAAGGAGCGTCCCTGCCTGGCCGGGGGACACGGCGGCCTCGGAGACGTGGGGAGAAGCGGCGGGTTCCCGGTGTGCCCCGCTGAGAGGGTGCCTTCTGTTCTCATGGGTTCAGTTCCCGCTGAGAAACCACACCAGAAAGCAGAACCTCTCCGAACAGCCCCTCGGCATCACACTGAGGGGCTCGCGTCTCCCGGGGCTGAGCTCTCCCTCCCGGCTGCACCCGAGAAGAGACCTCAGCAAATTTCAGAGAATCACAGAATTGTTTTGGTTGGAAAGAGCTTTCAGAACGTCATGTGAAACTTGTGTTAAATACCTAACCTCTCCCCTCCATCCCTAGCCCCTGGGACAATCCTCTCTTAGCATCTGTCTAGTCTACCTTCATTATTATTTTTTTTTTTTCTGGTGGGTTTTTTTTTCGTTGTTGTTTTTGTTTGCGTTTTATTTTCACAGGTCTGGTTCCAAAACAGGAGAGCAAAGTGCCGAAAGCAGGAAAACCAGATGCACAAAGGTAGGTGAGGCGGGTACGGGCCAGGCGGGGGGGCGGTGGCCGCGGAGACCCAGGCCACCTTCACCGCTCACCCGGCCCTGTTTCTCCCCGCAGGTGTGATCCTGGGAACCGCCAGCCATTTAGACGCCTGCAGAGTGGCCCCCTACGTGAATATGGGAGCCCTGAGGATGCCTTTCCAACAGGTAGTTAGCTCCGGTTTTATTTTCCTTTCTCCCGGCAAGCTCCGACCCCCGTTCGTTCGCACGGGAAGAAGCCGGACACGTTTACAAGTGCCATTTATATAGAAGTTGGCACGTATTAAAAACAGGCTGTAAAACTTGGGGAAGGAGCCCCCCGCCCGGCTGCATGGGAGCTCAGCGCCCTTAGGGCCCGAGGAGGGGGCCGAGTGGGGGAATACCAATAAAACTTTACGCATGTAAATGCAAGTAAGCTTTTTAAATGCCATGTTTAAACCTAAAACAAACTAAAATGACAAAATATTTACAAACACATGCTTTTATAATACAGTTTTCTCAGATCCCTGGGCCTTTGGGTCTGCTTCACACAGCTGGGAGTAGAGGGCAAACACTTCCCCACTGAAGTAAATCCCTATCACTGGAAGCTGAAACCTTGTCTTTCGGTAGGAATCTAATACAAAATCTTCGGCAAAATTTATGGAAAGGTATGTCAAATTGCCCGCAGCCAGAACCCTTCAGAGAACCTTTTGGGAAGCCCCAGGCCCTAAGAATGAGCTGTGCTGTGGACAGAGCAGCACTGGCAGAGCTCAGCAGAGATCCTAACCACCTCTGCAGCCATAAATGGCAGGGAAGAGATCTTGGCCTAACCTGCAGCTTATCCATAATGATCTAATCATATAATTAGAATTTTCTAGGTGATAACTTCCATTCTGAAATGAAACAAGCATTTACTTCCAAAATGACTTAAACAGGAAAGAAGATACTTTCATCGTGCACTCCTGGAAGTTAGAAAGGGAGAACACTATCAGTATACTAACAAATACAAGTTCTCTTGCAACCACAAGTCCACAAACAGACCCCACCTTTTTCTTTTGGTCAATTAATCGGGGAATCGATTTTTCCCAGCCCAAAGGGACCCTCCACCACCTTCTCCGTCTCGGAGACACGTGGAGCTGACAGATTAATTGTATCGATTTTAAAAGGACATATTTGGACCAAAATAATTAAATACATAAATAAACTCTTCCCCTCTTCCCCTCCCCGAACCTACCCGGAGCTGAAATCTCTCCGTCAACCCAAACGTGTTTGGATAGGTCGAGAAAGCTCCAAAGCAAACACACCAGCCCAGTCCATAAGGGACGGGCGGCCAAAGGGTTTGAAGCGAGGTATAAACATCCCTGCAAAAATAAATAAATACATAAATAGATAAAAAATGAACCATTTAACACGTGCTGAGCCGCATGTTTGGGGTTGTTTTTTTGGTGTGGTGTTTTTTTTCTCCACCCCTCAAGTATTTTTTCCGAATGCGAGGAGGGTCTGAACGTGCCCCTGCGCCTCTGGAGAAGCGCGGTGCGGAGATTTGCGCGCCAGCCCCGCTCCGCCCCCGCGCGCGGAGGCCTCCCGCACGGCAGAGCTGCTGCCGAGGCGGGTTCGGGGGTGGGGGGGGGGGGCG